GCTTTATTTAACACTTAAGTGTCTTGGGCCTGATGACACGGAATACGCGATGAAAGAAATGCATGACGGATGCTGCGGTAATCACTCAGGCGCCAGGAGTTTGGCTAAGAGGCTTCTGCAGACGGGATACTTCTAGCCGTCAATGAAGAAGGATTCAGGGGTATTCGTGAAACAATTCTTGAAATGCCAAGAGCATGGCCCGCTCATACATCTGCCCGCAGAAGAGCTCGGTATCATGACTTCGCCATGTCTACTTGCTCAATGGGGCATCGACATTGTTGGACCATTTCAAATGGCAACAGGGCAACGTAGATTCTTGATTGTGGCAGTAGATTATTTTTCTAAGTGGGCAGAGGTCGAGCCACTAGCATCGATTAATGAAGCTAGTGTTTTGAATGCTTATAAGAAAACATATGTTGTAGGTATGGGGTGCCTCGAATTATTATTTCGGACAATGGAACGTAATTCAATGGGTCCAAAGTTCGCGCATGGTGTGTCGATATCACCCAGTGATTTTGCTCGGAAGCGCACCCCCAAGCCAATTGTTAGATCGAGGTCACCAACAGGATAATCGTGTTGGGCATCAAGAAGCAATTGAAGGGGGCTAAGTGCCATGGCCGGAAGAGCTCGCATCCGTGTTATGGGCATATCAGACCACGTTTAAGTCGGCAATGAGCGAGTCACCATTCTGACGATTGAGGTAAGGGTACCAAGAAGGAGGATTCATTCTTTTGTCCCTGACAAAAATGAACTCTTGGCCAGGGAAAGTTTGGATATGATAGTGGAGGCGAGAGAGGCAACAACAGAGAAAATCAACAATGACAAAGAAGATATGAAGGCCACATACGATAAGAGGGTACAAAAATGACGATTCGAAGTATGCGACCTGGTATTGCGGCGAGCTGATGCTCTTAAGTTAATGGGCAAGCTCGAGGCAAACTGGGAGGGACCTTATAAGATCATACGGTGACTCACAAGAGGGGCATATTGGATTGAAGATAAACTAGGGAAGAAGCTCCCACGACTGTGAAATGTTTGTCACTTGAAAAAGTTTTTTTCTTAAACACGATTTCTGTTGTTCTTTGTTAAGATGTTTTGTCGAGAGGATATAAGTACCTCCACTCTTTCTTGGGCGACGCCCCCTTTTTGCGAAACGAAGAAATATATGAAACGATATCTGAAGCAACTTCTGAAATGAATGTTGAACAGTTGAAATGAATGTCGAAAAAGGAAGAGTGCGGTCGGTATTGATCGCACTGGCTCAAGCCGAGGTCGGTATTGACCTCGCGTCGGGAAAAGAAAAGTGCGATCGGTATCGCCCTCGAGCCAGTACAGGAAGAGTGCGATCGGTATCGATCGCACACTACCTCAAGCCAAGGTCGGTATCGACCTCGCGCCAGAAATGGAAGAGTGCGATCGATATCGATCGCACATGCTCAAGCAGAGGTCGGTATCGACCTCGCATTGAAAAAGGAAAAGTGCGATCGGTATCGATCGCACTAGCTCTAGCCGAGGTCGGTATCGACCTCGCGTCGAAAAAAGAGGAGTGCGATCGGTACCGATCGCACTAGCTAAATCCAAAGATGGAATCAACATGAATTAACCTCGCACCAAAAATAAGACACATAGCGTCAACTACGATGGCCAGAGTCACAGTCATAATTGATTTATCATCAAAAACAGAGGAGAAAAGAAAGCATGTTTGTGCAAGTATAAACATGTTAAGCGAGAAGAATTTCTTATTTCGTTGGAAAATTGTCATTACAAAGAAAATGGTGACTAAGGCAACATCCTTCAACGATAATCAAGCGCTCCAACAACACTGCTCGCCGGCATCACCTTCTGGAGTCCCTGCTTCTTCTCCCTCGACTTCTTCAAGGACGGGAAGTGGGCGACGTCCAGCAGTTCCATAGGACATGCCCCTGTGTATGACCTCAGAGCTTCGTCGAAAGGCACGTTGTACCAAGGCAATCCGTCGCGGTGAACCTTGAGGGGCTGCCAGACCGCCGACATTTCATCTTCAGGTAATCTCCCCATCACGTCGACAGGATCCAAATCAACCATCGCCCCCACTTTCGAGATATCACCTTGCGCTATCTTTATAGTATGGGAGACACCGGACACTGTATATGAAATTATGTCCACCATAAAGTCAGCAGAATTGGGTTACATATGGCGGAGCTCGGTAGAAACTTCCGAGGCATAGCCCGGCCTTTGTCAGAGAGGGGGAAGGAACGAAACCCTTCCTGCCAGGCGCGGGTTTTTTCTTCTTCAAAGATCGCCCTGTCGGGGGCGTATCTCACCCTTTGTTCGGCCAACAGAGCCTTTTCCTGCTCTAGCTCGTAAGCTAATCCATGCGAGCACTTTCGGATAGAGAGACTTCATCTCTTAAGGATTTTTCTTGTGCCGACAACGCAGCCTTCTCCTTCTTTATCTCGTGTTTTAGGCGAGATATCTCTTGTTGAGAGTCGACGGACAGCAGGCCCCTATTAGCCAAAAGGCCCACTAAATGGCAGAGGGCGGCGCAACTTTGACGTTGTAGCTCGGCCTCGCCGAGCTTTTCCAGAACCTTCTGATCATTAGAAGACTGAAAACTCCGGATAAAATCCACCATCTCATCAGAGCCAGGCTTCGGTATTAATAAGGACGTCGACACTGCTATTGTTTTTGGAGAAGGGGTACGTAGAGCAATGATTGAGCTAGAGGAGGTTTTAGAGGCCGATGGAGAGTTGGCTTTTTTAGATCCAGACGTGGTGGATGCCGACGTCTTCTTTGTAACAAGAGGAGCGGCAGTGTCGTCAGCCGCCCGTTTCCAGCGCGATGCTTTGCTCGGCGCGTTCACCTCGGCCACAACACCGGCAGTATTGCCAGCCTCGGCAAAAGCGGGGAGTATGGCAGGGGCCTCCTCCTCGGCAGCAGCTGCGGCAGTGACTTTCTTCGGCACTGGAGTCGATCGTAAATGAGAAAACATCTTGGCCTATGCACTTAATATGAGTTAGTTCAAGAAGGAGATTAAAACACATGATGGTAAGCGACATATGGAATAAACGATTACCGCGTTCAGCGAGGGTCATTATTGGGCCTTGTTGCCAGAGTAACCTGAAAGCAGTGAGAAGCTCTGGGGTCCATACGGTGTTCTCCACATCTAAATATTGGGCATGGAAAAAATATTTTATGCACGCAATGTCGACAAGCATCTCTCGGTCTGAGGAGGCGGGACTTGAACTTGGCGGTTAACTAGACAGAACAGCCAGGGATCCTAGGTTAGGACGGAGCAGAATTTGCGGTGCCAATGGTAGATCTTGTTAGATACGTTTGTGAAAATGCTTTTATCTTGTTGATTGGAAATGTAATATCCCGGCCCACTACGACGTGCATAGAAAAAATAATCAAATAGCCCGCCGAATATGTTTTGTATATTGAGGAGGACACACATCATGTAGAAGCAATTCATGATGCATAAGGTATTGGGGGAGAAGCGACATAGTGAGACACCAAACCTATTGGCGACATCTACTATAAAGGGGTTTAACGGAAAGGACATACCAACTCGTGCTTGTTCTTCGTACCAGGCGATATATCCACCCTCATTCGAGTCCGGCAGCTCAAAAGGCCTGGGTTGTACATACCGATATCCGGGACCGAATTCCACCCATTCAACAATCCATGACCCATTAACCACCGAGCAAGGATTCTTAGCAGTAACCAGGGGTTGAATGGACACCTCTACGTTGGTTTCTTGCCCCGTTCGCGTCATCTAGAAGGTGTGCCGAGGTACAAGAGTCACCTAATAAGCGCTCTAAAGAACTACCTAGAGGAGTAGAATCACTCGACGATCTTGACATATATGATATTGTACTAGGTCTGAACAATTTTTTACAGAGATTGAAGAAGGTATAGAAAACAAAGGAAGAATCACCTGCAAGAATGGTCTGTGGCGAAGCTAAGGGGTATGCCGGAAAGAGCCGCCGTACGTGTCGTCGGAAAAGAATTAAAGGGGGACCGTCAGCGATTTCGGGCAAATTCTTGAGCTTCAAAATATTGAGTGCCTTCTTTGCAGAGGGTATGGAGGAAATATGAGGCAAAAGAAAGGAAGAAATCCTAATGAGGGGATATTTATAGGTCCCTGCCCTTGTTGATTGTGCAATGTGAAATCAACCGTACGATTAAATTTTTCATCTGATGGCGGTCGTTGTGCCACGTCATACGACACTTCGTTTGCCCCAATCAAGCATCGATGGCCATAGGGTTTGCTAATGAGACGCGGATACATGTCGAATATGAAATGACGCAACATTTAATTTTTTCAGTGTGCCAGTCCACGCGCCTGCACGATTCGGTAAAGTTAGGATATCATTGCGCCGCCTCGATACTTGTGCAGCGAATGTGAAAGGGCATATTTAGTCATGTATTAAAAGTTATCTCGTTCTTAAAATGTTGGGTAACAGGCACGTGTACGCAGCGGAAAACAAAAATTTTATGCGATTTAAACAAATTTAAAACACATAAACACATGCCCGATAATTGACAACAATTAATTGCGTACCTTTGCGCTTCCAGCGAAATTAAAAACAACATACATGCTTAATTACTTAATCGAAATTAAATCAATTAGCATGCTCGCGTTGCTCGCAGTAAAATAAACAATTTCATGCAGTCACATAAAATCATACAATTATCTTACAAAAACAAACATGCATATATTAATTTAAACGTAACCGAATCTAACGACAATGGATTCGAAACTTTACCTCTTGAAGCGTGAGGTAGGCCCACTAAGCAAAGCTAGATTGCCACGGAAACCAATCCGTGCAATCCGGGGCAGCAACGGCGATGCAGCGGCGGCGATGATCCGAGCTACGGCGGCGCGTGTCGTTCACGCGCTGTCTTCGGGCAGCGCGTGGAGGCGCGTGCATCGTCGGTTCGGTGGCTGCTCCTCGATTCTTCGATCTTCCTCCTCTCGGATTTCACCTCGTATACTTTGATCTACTAAAACGTGGCACTAGACAGGGAGCCGATTCCGGCGAGTTGGCCGATTCCGGCGAGTTGGCGGCGGCGACGGCGGTGGTGGCCGTGGGAGAAGATGGCCGAGCGAGACAGGGAGCGGCTATGGTTTAGTTCGTGTGTTATATATGTGCAAGACTTATAAATCAAGTATTTATAGTGTCTTGCATAAAAGCCCTAACGGCCTTAAGTTGGACCGGGCCCAACAACTTATGTTCGTTAGTCTTTTATTCGCTCGTTTGTCTAAATTCAATGATCGGAAAATTGTAACAATTACATTTTAGAAACTTCATGATTTAGAAAGTCCACTAAGATGTTCGCCTATTCTTTTCCTTTTCTTATTCTCATTCATAATTCCAAATTACGAATGTTGGACCCAATCATATTGACTTCCAATCATGCAGAGATAAACCATTTTATCTCTGACCGTTTATGCAAAGATCTCATGTGCATGAGCAGTGTGGCCCTCGATGGTTCAGGTGTAAGCTAGCCGTGGGCCCACAACCCTTTGTGGTCAAAACTCGTCCCTTAGAGTTACGATTAAGATGAAACTCGTTTCACCTTAAT